TTGGCAGGCTGTGTGTTTCTAGAAACTAGTCCATTTCTTCTGGGTTGTCCAATTTCTTGGCATATAATTGTTCATAGTATTGTCTTATGATTTTTTATATTTCTGTGGTGTCAATTGTTATTTCTCCTTTTTCATTTCTTATTTTGTTTATTTGGGCCCACTCTTTTCTTCTTGGTGAGCCTGGCTAGAGTTTGTAGATTTTGTTTATCTTTTCGGAAAACCAGCTCTTCGTTTTACTGATCTTTTCTGTTAGTTTGGGTTTTTTTTAATCTTTATTTCTTCTCTCATCTTTATTTCCTTCCTTCTGCTCACTTTGGGTTTTGTTTGTTCTTTTCTAATTCCTTTAGGTAGTAGGTTAGGTTGTTTATTTGAGATTTTTCTTGTTTCTTGAGGAAGACCTGTCCTGCTATGAACTTCTTCTTAGAACCACTTTTGCTGCGTCCCATAGATTGTGTAAGGTTATGTTTTTATTGTCATTTGTCTCAAGGTATTTTCTGATTTTTTTTCTTTTATTTCATCCTTTACCCATTGGTTTTTTTAGTAGCATGTTGTTTAGTCTCCATATGTTTGTTCTTTTCCCATTTTTCTTCCTGTGGTTGATGTCTAGTTTCATACCATTGTGGTCAGAAAAGATACTTAAAATAATTTCTATGCTCTTAAATTTGTTGAGGCTTGTTTTGTGACCCAGTATGTGGTCTATCCTAGAGAATGTTCCATGTACGCTTGAAAAAAAATGTGTATTCTGGTTTTCTGGGATGTAGTGTCTTGTAGATGTCAATTAAGTCCAACTGGTCTATTGTGTCATTTAGGACATCTGTTTTCTTACTGATTTTCTGTCTGGAAGATCTGTCCATTGATGTCAGTGGGATGTTAAAGTCTCCTACTATTATTGTATTTCTGCCAGTTTCTCCCTCTATGTCTGTTAGTATTCTATTGATATATATTTAGGTGCTTATACCAGGTGCATATATGTTAATGAGTGTAATATCCTCTAATTGTATTGATCCCTTTATCATTGTATAATGTCCTTCTTTTTCTTTATGGACTTTAAGTCTACTTTGTCTGATATGATTATTGCTACCACCACTTTACTGTCATTTCCATTTGCCTGAAATATTTTTTTCCATTTCCTCACTTTCAGTCTATGTGTCACCTTAGCCCTGAAGTGAGTCTCTTGTAGGTAGCATATTGTAGGTTCTTATTTTTTATCTAATCTGCCACTCTGTGTCTTTTGATCAGGTCATTTAGTCTATTGACATTTAAAGTAGTTATTGATGGGTATGTGCTTATTGCCAGTTAATTTTGTACTTTGTTGGTTTCTTCTTCTGCTTTTTCCTTTTGTGGTTTGATGGTTTTCTTTCGTATTATGCTTGAGTTCCTTTCTTTTTGAATCTATCGTATGTTTTTTATTTTGTGGTTAACTGGGTTTTCAAGTATGTTGACTATAACTATCTCTACTTGCTTTTACAATTTTTGTTGTTTTTGTTTTTGTCTTTGCTGCATCGCATCTTCATTGCCGCACATGGGCTTTCTCTAGTTGCAGTGAGCAGGGGCTACTCTTTGTTGCGGTGCATGGGCTTCTCATTGCGGTGGATTCTCTTGTTACGGAGCACAGGCTCTAGGTGCGTGGGCTTCAGTAGTTGTGGCATGCAGGCTCAGTAGTTGTGCCTCGCGGGCTCTAGAGCGCAGGCTGAGTAGTTATGGCACACAGACTTAGTTGCTCCACAGCATGTAGGATCTTCCTGGATCAGGGATTGAACCTGTGTCCCCTGCATTGGCAGGTGGATTCTTAACCACTTTGCCACCAGGGAAGTCCCTTCTTGTTTTTAATCAATGTAATGTCTTATTTAAATGATCTTCAATCCTTTTATATATTTGCCTTTCCTATTGTAATTTTCACTTTCGTATAAATTCTTGCTCCTTTTCTCTTTTGAGGAGACCTTAGGGTAGGTTTAGTATTGCTGTATTCTTTTAGTTTTTACTTGTCTGAGAAATTCTTTATCTCTCCTTCTATTCTAAATGATATCCTTGCTGGGTAAAGTATGTTGCAGGTTTTTCCCTTTCAGGACTTTGAGTATATCATGCCACTTCCTTCTGGTTTGCAATTTTCTGCAGAGAATTCATCCAGCTGATAGCCTGATAGGGATTCCCTTGTATATAGCTCTTTGTTTTTCTCTTGCTGCCTTTAGAGTTCTTTGTTTTTAACTTTTGCCATTTTAATTATGATATGTCTTGGGATAGGTCTGTTTGGGTTCATCTTTTTGGGGACCTTCTGTGCTTCCTGTACCTGGATATCTATTTCTTTCTTTTGGCTTGGGAAATTTTTAGCCCTAATTTCCTCAAATAAATTTTCAATCCCCTTTTACCTCTCTTCTTCTGAGACCACTGTAATGTGAACATTGGTATGGTTAATGTTATACCAGAAATCTTGTAAGTTGTTTTCATTTTTTAATTTTGTTTTTCTTTAGCTGTTCTGATTGATTTCCATCTTTCTGTTCTCCAGATCACTTATTTGTTCTTCAGTGTTACTTAGTTTGCTGTTGATTGCTCTAGATTGGTTGTTATCTCAACACTTGAGTTGTCTAATTTTGATTGTTTCATCTTAGTAGTTTCTAGTTCCTTGTTACAGTGATCTGCATTTCTATTGATAATCTTAGTTCCTTTAGCATTTTCCTTATCTTCTTTTTGAACTCAGGGTCTAGGAGACTGGTGAGGTCTGCTTCATTTCTTTTAGGGGATGTCTGTCGTTCTTTTAATTGGGAGTAGCTCCTCTCCTTTTTCATTTTGCTTAACTTCTTCTGTCTGAATTTAGGAGAAACGTTTTCTACTGTGGTCTTGAAGGGGTGTTTTCAACGTGGGAGCATCATGTGTACTCTGTGTGAGTCCAGCATTTTTGGTGTGAGGGCTGGTTTTGGTATGAATGCCAGCCACCTCTTCTCCCCAGAGTCTGCTGGCTGTTATCCCCTTGATGGGGATGTGATTGGTGTTTTGGTGTCCAGGGCCTGCACTGGGTGTTAGGCAGAACCCCCTCATTGCTCCATGGCCTGTTGGAGTCAGGGCCTCCTCCCCAGTTGTTGGAGTAGAAGCCCTGAGGGTTGGATTTGATGAGGCTCCATTGCCCTTGAGTGCGTGCCCTGTCCCAAAGGAGGTGACCGCTGAAGCAGGTGAGGCTCATGTGGTCACGGTGAACCTATGTGCCTCCCATGCAGTCCAAAGTTGCTTCCCTTTTTCCATTGTGTTCGTCCTAGATGTAGTGCTAGGCAGTGATATGGAGTAGGCTGGCGCTGGGGGCCAGGGTGCTGTGGCTGCATGAATCGAGATGGTTGGGCTGCTGCCTGGGACCTTGACTGCCTCTGTGGCAGGCCTCTCCCAGGACCTGTCCACCCCAGATCCAACTCCAAGCAGAGGTGTGGGGTGGGCAGAACTGGAGCACTGAGTACTCCTCCCTAGAGGCTTTGTACCAGATACATGCCTTTCTGTGCTCCACCAGGTGCTGCTGACAAAGCCCAGACCCACCCCTTTTCCCCCCACCCCCGCCTTAGGAGTGCTGACATCGGAACAGTGCCTCTGTTGTTAGACCTGGACCACACCCCAGACCCTCAGTACTAGCTCCTTGCAGCTAAATGGAGTCTTTCCCTAGGGTTTGTCTGCCAAGATACACTGCTTAGCTGCTGTAGGTATTTGTAGCCCCACCAGATTCACACTGATTGGGAAGTGTGGTGAGGTACAGGTGCCAGCACCAGTCTCCCTTCACCGTGACTGTTAGCAAGCCAGTCTGCGCACACTCCTGTCAAGTAAAGTCCAGGCTTCTCTAGCCCCTCTGTCTGTCCCAGCAGGCAAGGGGCCTCCCTAAGCCTGCCTGTGTGGACCTTTTCTCCTTTACACTTCCCCCCCAGAGGCTCAGGTCCCATCCTGATGCCTTTTTTTTTTCTTTTCCTGTCCTACCTACTTACATGGAGGTCTTTCATGCAGCTTTGGTTATATAGGAGATCTTCTACCCATTTCCTATTGGTTTTCTGTGAGAATTGTTCCACGTGTAGATGAATTTTCGATGTGTTTGTTGGGGGAGGTGAGCTTCACATCCTCCTACTCTGCCATCGTGATTCCCCCTCGGGAAGTACTTCGGAATTTACTAAATAAGCATATTGCTGGCTACTGTGTGAGATTGATATATTTTAGCTACCTGTATATAATGGAAATGTTATTCTTTCTTATAGGTACAGTAGTATTCCTGCACTTTTTAAAAATTGTTTTATTTATTCAATCATCTCTTATTGGGCTCCCACTGTGCGGCTGGCACATAGGTGCTGGAGATTCAGAGTTGATAGACAATGTCCACTCTTCAGGGATGAGTATTGTGATAAACATGTAACAGTTTTCTTCAGGAACAGAATCCTGTGTTAAATTTTATTTTAATGGCTTTTAAAAAATCAGCAGTGAATGAGCAAGTGCTTTTCTTTCACCAAAATCTAATAGGCTAGTAGTATTAGTCAATAAATAGAACATGATTACTTAAATTTAAAGCATTCTTATTCTAAAAGAATTTCAGAATTGAAAGAAACTTGAGCCAGCATTGAGTCTGTCTCCCCATTCTCCACCCAGTTTTACTGATGTGAAACAGAGATTTAGAGAAGCCAATATTCAACTGAGGTCATATAACCAGCTTACTTGCAGAGCTTGGAGACCCCATGTCCTGCCTAGTAGTCTGGGATCCTAGAATATCTCTATTAATTATTGGTTAAGCTTTGGATTCATGACATTTTTGGTAGTGTTTTTAAGTTCTTGAATTTAGAATTTTTGTTGCATCTTCTGAATTCTTTAGCCCAAAGAATGGAGAGGAAAGTATGCTCTCAAAATACCTTGTGATTTTGCTTTTAAAGTGTTCTCAGACACATCTGTTTGCCTTTTTGAAGAAAAAAGTATGATTCTTAATATGAATTTGACATTTTTTACCTGTGCAGTTTATCTTCTGACATTAATTTTTCTTTTTCTCTTTTTAGTCTGCCATTTTCAATTTTCAGAGTCTGTTGACTGTAATCTTGCTGCTTATATGTACCTGTGCTTATATCCGATCCTTGGCACCCAGCCTCCTGGACAGGAATAAAACTGGGTATGTCACTAATAATGTCTAATCACCCAAATTAGTTCTTAGAGATATTGAATGTCAATTATTGAAAGTCATTAAATAATTTAATTCCTATATGTAATTTAGTTTATAATAACTTTTTACATTATTTTTTCCCTATTTTTAAAAATCCAAATCTTTATATTCACAGAAGCTTACTAAATAAAAATATAAATATCAGAAGTGACCTGAAATGTGTTGGACTGAAAAAAAAAGTGTATTTTAAAAGATGTGATAGATTTTTTTCTGAGATTGAAGCTACAATTTAGTACTTTCAAAGACAGTGTTTGGCCTTAGTATTTAATAGAATATTAGTAAAATTGGTTATCATATTTTGAAAGCATTAAACATCTTATAAGCACTGTGTCCATAAAAATAATAATACAGACATTGCCTCTTCATTCCCAGACTGGTCTAATCATACAGGCTCCTCATCTGTATCATAAAGCAAACATCTTTGGAGAAATTTATTTAGCTTACTTAAAAAAGTAATGAAAATTCAGTCTTGGGCATGTCACATCACTTTTAATTATATGTTCACACCCAAAAAAAATTTAAGCTTAATATGATACCACAAAGACTTAAATTTTTTAAGTGCCATGTTCCTAATACAGAAATACATATTGAGTTCAACCAGGACAAGTATGTATAAAAACAGAGACCATGTGGTGAAAACTATGCAGACTTTCTTTGCCTTACAGATTTATTTCTTGAATTCACAATTGTCTTTAATTCTTTTGTGGTAAGATCCTGTACCTCACTTAATCATCTTAAGAAATAATAGGATGAAATAGTAGAATACTTCACATAGGAATAATTATCTCCAGCACCTTTTTTGTTTTTGATGAAAGGAAAAGGGCCAAATTAAGATCCTGCAAGGTCAGACTCTGCTTTTCCACTAATAAAAAGCCCCTACAAGAGGCCAGGTAGTAGATACTCAAGCATGAGAGGAAATAATTCCCTTTTCTTCAACTCCCATTATATCTTTGGGGTCATAATTAACATTTATTCAAACATCCTATTATCTAAATCATTTGGCTTTTGTTACTATTCCTTTCTTTTTATTACATAGGTTTGTTTGAACATCTATAAAGATATAAATAGAACCCCTAACCAGTTTTGAATAATGAAAATCTATAATCCTGTTCCAGTAAACTGATTATCTGTCTCTATTGGCATGAGGGATTTTATTTAACCTACTGAAGGTGAAAATAGATGTTATTTGTCCATCAGTTTTTCTGACAATGCCTCACTTTCTTTGTAGACATTATCTTATCATCAGTCCACCTTTTTCTGTGAACTCAGCACTCAATACTTTGTCCCTTTGTTGAAATTATATAATCTTATTTGTTGCTTAGTTGTGCCTGAAGCCTTTCTACCCAGCCAGTTTTATTTCCTCCTACCCTTCCTCTGCAACCCCCAACGATTAACTTATAATTAAAGCATATGGTAGAATCCAGTAAACAGTATCATTGATCATTAGTTTAGATTTCTAATGTAATACATAATGTCTAATAAGAAATTTAAGTGTTTATGTCATTGAAGAATAATCTCATAGTGGCAGAACAGTGTATTTGTACTTTTCTGATGCTGCGACAAAAAAAGTAGATTGCATGTGGAAATGTCTGCTCCTCATTCCTTTGGAAGCAGGAACACATCCATAACATGCTACATTAAAAAAGGAGTTCTCAGGGCTGCCAACCTTACAGTAGAGGTTGAGTAGTAGTATATTTCTCCTACATGAAAACCAAAGAAATAACACGCCTATTTTCACATTTTAAAATATATAATGATATAGTCAACTGTTTCAAAGCTTTTTTTAAAAATTTTGCTTCTATTTATATAATGTTAAGCCCCTTTTATTTTGACTTGTACATATGAAGTATTTTCTGTAGAAGAAATTTTTACTGGTCATTGTTCTGTTGTAATACGTATTTTTATGAGACTCAAAATAAGCTTTCCAGGCTTCCCTGGTTGGCGCAGTGGTTGAGCGTCCACCTGCCGATGCAGGGGACACGGGTTCATGCCCCAGTCCGGGAGGATCCCACATGCTGCGGAGTGGCTGGGCCCGTGAGCCATGGCCGCTGGTCCTGCACATCCGGAGCCTGTGCTCCGCAGCAGGAGAGGCCACAACAGTGAGAGGCCCACGTACCGCAAAAAAAAAAAAAAAAAAGCTTTCCTTTCATTATAGTGAGTATTCCATGCTAAAGTGAAGATAATCTGGACCAATTAGATAAAATGAGTTCTTGATAACTTCACTGTTGAAAATAACAAATTAATTTTTTGCTGCTTCAAATAATATAGAACTAAAAAGCAGCAAAGAAAGATTGCTACTTTGTCTTGCTTCGTATTTTCATAGACTTAATAGTTTTATCAGCAGATAGACTTATTGGCTTATATCCTTAGAAACTAAGCAGCATATCTGCATTGGTTTTTACCAGCTAATAAAGTTCCTTTTAGCATTTGGGATATTACAGAAATGTCTAGGTAGGGAAATACGTGAAAAAGGCCAAAGCAGTACCAATTAATCTCTTAAGTTGCCAAGTTGGGAAATTTTTTTCATTTAAATAGCTTTCAATATGCTAAGTGTGTTATACCAATTTCCTAATGAGGCTTTTAGTTATTTCTAGACTATAAGACCTGAAAAGACCTTGACTGTGGTCACGTGGTTTCAGATTATTCTGTGGGGCCCTAAGCTTTACAGAGAGGAACTTCAGGTGTCCTGCCTCTGAGTACCTCAGCCAGAGGAGCTTTAAGTCAATAATGCATTTTATAATCAATAGACTTTTAGAATCAAGCATCCAGGGCTTTGCAGATCACTAACCAGTTGTCTTTCATTTTTTGATGAAATGTAAGCCAATGTAAGTGATACCTGGAGTCATGTCACATACACCTTTAGCCTGTGTAATACTGAACACAGTGCATGTTAATCACTATTCTAAAGACTTTCTGTGTAATAACTCATTTAATCCTTGTAACAACCCTATGAGGATGAGATAAAGAGAAAAGAGGTAAAATAACTTGCCCACAGTTATGCAACCAATTAAGTAGGATTGAACTTAGGCACAATCTAGCCCTGATCCTTTGCTTTCAAGAGTGCTTATGATTTTTGTCCTTTTTATTCCTATAAGAAGAAAATTGTTTCACCTGTCAGAATGCCCATCCCTCACAATAAACTTGTATTTTTGCCCGTTTCATTTAGTCTGTACTAAGAGACTTCTTGCTTTGATGTCAGGAACTCACTGTATACTTCAAAGGAGGAAAGTGTATAGAACTTGATTGAATCAGCATTTTCTTTCAGTCTTAACCATTCAAATACAATGATTCATTGCCAGCCATCTCTTTGGGCAAAAAAAAAAAATTATAAATTTCCCTGTAATTTAAACATTATGATTTTCTTATCCCAATCCTAATAAGTAATGTTAATTTATCTTGATTTGTAACCATGTGTAACACTTTATAATTCTATTCTTTTGTCACACCAACAAAATAGTTGTCTACAATGTGTGTTTTTCTCCAAATATCTCTATTCATTGAATGACTTGTCCTTTTTTTTGAGCTGGTATTTTTTAATGCATGCAAAATAAGTGATATATCCATATAATATGTATTCATAATATATTCATTCATAGAATTGAAATGGACATTAGTCTAATTTTTCTTATTTCCAGAGTATATGTGTTTTAAATGGCATATTTAGTTAATTGCATATACAATTATATGAAACTAGGGTTTTCCACTTACATTGAAATATATATGTTGAAATATATTGAATATATTACACTGAAATATAGGCTCATATTTTTGTATTCCTCCTTATTTAATGTTATAGTTATGCTATCATTGGAGTTCATGATTATAGATCATTTAAATAAAGAACTATATTCAGTAAGAAGTAAGTTTATTCAGTATGAGAGTTTTATTTTTTAATGTCAAAATTTATCCAGAACCAACTGTTCCCATTTACTGTTTTCTCAAAGTTAACATTTATTTAAATGGGCATATGTATTTTCTGCTTTTGAAGGTAAAGCACTTGAAGTTGACGGAATCAATCTTCTAATAGTAAGCTCTGGTGCAAATTTTTGCCACTCTCACATTAATTTACCTTGGGCTTAACCTGTGAGACAACATATGTTCAGTTTCTGACAGTTTCTATACATTGATGGTTGATAAGCTATTATTGTGTCCTACTTTTCTCCATAAGTGGTGGCTCAACATCAACTACATTTCAGTTTAAAGCAAAGCATCAGCAGTTAAAATACTAGTATATAATAAATTCTCCATATAGTTCTGAATAATTCACCTTTCCCAGTAAACAGTAGCTACTTTTTTTTATTCTATGCAGGTTGTTGGGTATATTTTGGAAGTGTGCCAGAATTGGTGAGTATCTATCTATAATCTCTCTCCACTTCTTCATCTGTAAATTGTTGGCCAATTTACTTGTTGTGTTCAAACAAATCAAATGTCAGTTTTTAAAGTGTAGCCTTCCCAACTATGTGCATTTTGCAGTAGTTTGTAGCGTTCCACCTAACTCTTTTGCTGACACTATTTAAAACTAGACTTCATAGATAGCTAATAATACTTCATTAGCAGGGAGATGGAAAATACGACAAAAGTCTCTCTAATTCAGATATCAAATACTATGCATTCCTGGTTTTGGGGAGATTTCAGACAAATGTGTATAGTTTTATGCACACATACTTTAGTATAGAGCATGCAATTCTGTATAATGTGTACCATTTTGATAACTGAGGATGATTTTTCCATTTAATGAAAGGCTTGCTGAGCAACCATCTAATTGCCCTCTGCTAGGTCATAGAATCTTATTGGTTGCTTTTAGAAAACATGAACTATTTCATCTTTTGAATCCATGTATGTGGTCATACTTGAGCTTTGTGTAAATGTGGATATCTTCTAACTTTTCATAATAAGATTAGTAGCACCTTAAGTGTGTTTATGGTTAGATAACAATATATACTATACATTGTCCCATAACACTATGTATATAATAACATTTAACACAGTGCCTAGCACATAGTAGACTCTCAAATGATTGGTAAGTAAATGAGTTAAAATGCATTTTATTTGCCAGTATTCTTTTTTTATTGCAGTATAGTTGATGTAGAATATTACATAAGATACAGGTGTACAACATAGTGATTCATAATTTTTAAAGGTTATATTCCATTTATAGTTATTATAAAATAGTGGCTATATTCCCTGTGTTGTACTGTATATTCTTGTGGCTTATTTATTTTATACATTACAGTTTGTACTTCTGAACCCCCTACTCCTGTCTTTCCCTTCCCCCCTTCCTTCTCACCACTGGTAACCACTAGTTTGTTCTCTAGATCTGTGAATCTGTTTACTTTTTCCTATATTCACTACTTGGTTTTATTTTTTAGATTCTACATATAAGTGATATCATACAGTGTTTGTCTTTCTCTGACTGACTTATTTCACTTAGCATAAAAACCTTCAAGTCTATCCATGTGGTTGCAAATGGCAAAATTTCATTCTTTTTTATGGCTGAGTAGTATTCCAGAGAGAGAGAGAGAGAGAGCGCGCGAGAGAGCGTGTGTGTGTGTGTGTGTGTGCATGCCACATCTTTATCGATTCACCTGTTGATGGACACTTAGGTTGCTTCCATATCATGGCAATTGTAAGTAATACTATTTTGAACATTACGGTGCATGTATCTTTTCAAAATAATGTTTTTGTTTTAGTCGGATATGTACCCAAGAGTGGGATTGCTGGGTCATATGGTAGCTCTATTTTTACTGTTTGGAGAAACCTCCATCCTGTTTCCCGCAGTGGCTGCACCAATTTACATTCCCACCACCATCCACATCCTCAGCAACATTTGTTGTGTTCTTTCTGATGATAGGCGTTCTGACAGGTGTGAGATAACATCTCATTTTTGGTTTTACTTTGCATTTTCTGATGATTAATAGTGTTAAGCATCTTTTCATCTGCCTGTTGGTCATCTCTATGTCTTCTCTGAAAAAATTTCTATTCAGGTCTTCTGCCCAGTTTTAATTGGGTTGTTTGTTTTTTTGATGTTGAGTTGTATGAGCTGTTTATAGATTTTGTATATTAATCCCTTATCAGTCATATCATTAGCAAATATTTTCTCCCATTGTGTAGGTTGTCTTTTTGTTTTGCTGATGGCTTCCTTTGCTGTGCGAAAGCTTTTATGTTTAATTAGGTCTGATTTGTTTATTTTTGCTTTTGTTTCCTTTGCTTTAGGAGACAGATCAAAAAAAAATATGATTTATGTCAAAGAGTGTTCCATTTATGTTTTCTTCTGGGAGTTTTATGGTTTCCGGTCCTACATTTAGGTCTTCAGTCCATTTTGAGATTATTTTTATATGTGATATGAGAAACTATTCTGACTTCATTCTTTTACGTGTAGCTGTTTTCCCAGCACCACTGAGGGGGGTGGGAAGCGGTTCCTGACACAGTTTTGTATGGAGTCCAGGGTGTCCTGAAACTTGTGTTGGCCTGCTAGTGGGCAGGACCATGTCCCAACTGGTCCCAGGGCAGGGTCTGGCCTACTGGGAGGTGTGGGCAGGCTGGGTCCGCAGATTGCAGGATTGTGGTTTTCTTGCATTTGGTGTCTGCCACCTGATGGGTGAGGCTGGTCCAGAGGCTAAAGCAGGCTTCCTTGAGGGCAGGGCTGGGCTCCAGGAGTTTCTGGGGCTGGTGCCTGCCCACTGGTTGGGGAACTGGGTGCTGGGACCCTGCTGGACAGGGCCATGTCCAGAGGCAGCTGTGGGCTCAGGGGGTCTTAAGGCAGCCTGTCTGCTGATGGGTGGGGCTCTGTCCCCACTGAGTGAGTTGCTTGGCCTGAGGTGTCCCAGCACTGGCACCTATAGACTGTTGGGCCAGGGCACGGTTGGGTCCTAGCACTAATAAGCTAGAGGGAAGATTCCACAATGGCGCCTGCTAGCACCAGTGTCCCCATGGTAGAAGTAGCTCTATGAATGGCTGCCACCAGTGTCTGTCCCCAGGGTGCGTTGCAGTTGCCTCCTGTTCCTCCGGGAGATTCTCCAAGACCAGCAGGTAGGTCTGACCCAGGCTCCTATCAAATTACTGCTTTTGCCCTGAGTCCTGGAATGTGTGAAACTTCTTGGGTGCCCTTTAAGAGTGAAGTCTCTCTCCCCGAAGTCCTATGGGACTCCTGAAATTAAGGCCCACCGGCCTTCAAAGCCAGTGCTCTGGGGGCTCGTCTTCCCAGTGCAGGACCTCCAGGCTGGAGAGCCTGATGTTCAGCTCAGACCTTTCACTCCTTTGAGAGAATCTCTACAATGTAATTATTCTCCAGTTTGTGGGTTGTCCACCCAGTGGTATGGGACTTGACTATACAGCTAGTCTTCCCCACCTACCTGTCTCCTTGTGGTTCTTTCTTTGTGTCTTTGGTTGTAGAAGATCTTTTCTGGTAGGTTCCAGTCTTTTTCATCGATGGTTGTTCTGCAAATAGTTGTGAGTTTGGTGTGCTTGTGAGAGGAGGTGAGCTCAGGGTGTTTCTACTCCGCCATCTTGGCCAATCTCCCCAAGAGATAGTATTTTCTGATGCTTTTAGATCACATTTGCAGAGTCCCAATGCAAACCCTGAAACAACAGAAGAAATCTTAAGCCCTTCAAAAGTAACCAAGAAGAGGGAGAGAAAGAGACAAAAAAGCACCCTCAAGGGCTAATGCTGATAGCTAATGGTAAATGTAAATATATATACGCCAAACTCCTTGCTTCAAGATCCAGGTCACTCAAGGAAAAAAGTCATCTCGCTAAGGAACAGGCTGGTAAGAATACCTCACGTAAATTACAAAGAGAGAACATAATGGGATTGTCTCCATAATTTCACTTTCTGATATTTCATTGTTTGTTAGTGTACAGAAATGCAACAGATTTCTGTATATTAATTTTGTATCCTGCGACTTTACCAAATTCATTGATGAGCTCTAATAGTTTCCCCATTTACCATCTCATCAAAAAGAATCGAATACCTAGCAATAAAGCTAAGGAGGTTAGAGACCTGTACTCCGAAAACTAGAAGACACTGATGAAAGAAATTGAAGATAACACAAACAGATGGAAAGATACGCTGTGTTCTTGGATTAGAAGAGTCAGTATTGTTAAAATGACCATAGTATCCAAGGAAATCTACAGATTCAGTTGCATTCCCTATCAAATTACCAATGGTGTTTTTCACAGAACTAGAACAGATAATTTAAAAATTTGTATAGAAACACAAAAATTCCGATTAGCCAGAATAATCTTGAGAAGGAAGAACAGCTGGAGGAATCTTGCCTCTGACTTCAGACTATTACAAGGGTGTGGTCAAAAACAGTATGGTACTGGCACAAAAACAGACATAGATCAGTGGGACAGGATAGAAAGCCCAGAAATAAACCCCACGCACTTATGGTCAATTAATCTAGGACAGTGGAGGCAAGAATATACAATGGAGAAAAGACAGTCTCTTCAGTAAGTGGTGCTGGGAAAACTGGACAGCTACATGTAAAAGAATGAAATTAGAAGATTCTCTAACACCATACAAAAATAAACTCACATCTAGGTGTTTAATCCATTTTAAGACTGGATACTATGAAACTCCTAGAGGAAAACATAGGCGGAACACTCTTTGACATAAATCGCAGCAATATTTTTTTGGATCCGACTCCTAGAGTAATGGAAACAAAAACAAAAATAAACAAATGGGACCTAATCACACTTACATGCTTTTGCACAGCAAAGGAAACCATAAACAACACGAAAAGACAGTCTATGGAATGGGAGAAAATATTTGCAAATGATGTGACCAACAAGGAATTAATGTCCAAAATATACAAACAGTTTGTACAGCTCAATATCAAAGAGATAACCCAATCAAAAAATGGGCAGAAGATCTAAATAGACATTTCTTCAAAGAAGACATACAGATGGCCAACAGGCACAGGAAAAGAAGCTCAACATCGCTAATTATTAGAGAAATGCTAATCAGAACTACAATGAGGTATCACCTCACTCTGGTCAGAATGGCCAACGTCAAAAAGTCTGCAAATAATAAATGTTGGAGAGGGTGTAGAGCAAAGGGAACCCCCCTACACTGTTGTTGAGAATGTAAATTGGTGCAGCCACTATGGAGAACCCTTAAAAAACTAAAAATAGAGTTACCATATGATCCAGCAATCACACTCCTGGGCATATATCCAGAGAAAACCATAATTCGAAACGATACATGCACCCCAATGTTCATTGCAGTCGTAGAATATCACTCAACCATAAAAAAGAGTAAAATAATGCCATTTGCAGCAACATGGATGGATCTAGAGATTAAGTCAGAGAAAGACAAATATCATATGATCTCACTTATATGTGGAATCTAAAAAAAATGATACAAATAATTTATTTACAAAACAAATAGACTCATAGATATTGAAAGCAAACTTATAGTTACCAAAGGGGAAAGGCAGGGCAAGGGGAGGGGATAAATTAGGAAATTGGGATTAACAGATATGTACTACTATATATAAAATAGATAAATAGCAGGGACCTACTATATAGCACAGGGAACTATATTCAATATCTTGTAATAACCTGTAATGGAAAAGAATCTGGAAAAGAGTATATGTATAAATATATGTGTGTGTGCGTGTGTGTGTGTCTATCTGAATCGCTTTCCTGAACAACTGAAACATTGAATCAACTATTCTTCAATAAAAAAAGAGAGAGAACATATGGAAGAGCAAGACAGTTTGAGGAAGTAGAGAATATCACTGGATTAGAGTCATACTAACATTAAAGTTGCTAGCTCATGAATAAAATATTAAGGTATTTTAAATCCATCTTTTGTGTAATAAATTAGAAAACGATGTACAACTCCATTTAGTAGCCAATCCAGGTGATCCTTTTGTTCACAATTTTTACTTGAAAGTATAGCTAAAGTTTTCAGACATCTAGTTTATAGCTTTCTTCATGTTATCCTATAGTACTACCTATTTTTATGTCTAATTATAAACTGTGCCTTTTTTTGCTTGCCCATGTATTTCCATTTTCCTGTCTTGACTATATGAATACCATAGGTTAAATGGTTCAATTATTCATTTTTGCCAATTATGTGGAAAGCATTAGCTTTTCATTTTGGCAAAGTGGTTTAGAAAATGTTGATGGTGATATGCTGCTTTCTCAACCACATGCTCCTCTCTTATCTTGACACAGAATATATCCACAAAGAAAGGAAACAGTTTTAATGGGAAAAGGCCCAGCCAAATCATCTTATCATGTTACACATCACATTACAGCAACTGTTTCACATTCACTTATAGAGACCTAAGACCAGACAAGAAGTAACATTCTTACCCAAGTTCAACCAGAGATGTTTAGCCTCTGCCACATGGCAGTCTCTTTTAAGAAAATTAAAAACGGGAAAATGAAACCCATATGTAAATTATAGCATTCTAAGTTGGAGGATGAGGAAGAGAAGAACTTCCTCAAAAATTAATTTCCAGCAGATGGAAAATTTAGGACAATATTAGTTTCTTCATTTAGTGTTTAAGAAGACTATATTAGACAGTGAGAGTATCTAGCCCTGTGGTGAGTGACAGGCTTCCTTATGAGATCTACCAGAAATTTTGGTCTGATTGTTTTGTTGTTGTTGTTTTGTTGGATAACTTGAGTTTTTTACCCTGAAACAATCAGCATGGCTAAAAAATGAGGAACCACGGTATTTTTTAGTTTCAAAAGATTTTTTTTTTCCAGTTGAGTTAATATTGTAAAAACACTGTATTTTCTCACTTTCTAGATTTTCCTTTAGCTGGAATATAGTCCATCAAATGTCTACGGATAGAAAAAACTTTCAGAAAAACACCAAATGTTTATTTTATTTGTATGTGTGTAATGTCTTCTGTGAATATTGCCATTGAACAAAGATATAAACTTTTGACTGTATCACTATGATCTCAGTGAGGAAACTCTGAAAATGAAGATGACCTTCAAGGTTTTAGTTGATAAGAGTGGTAAAGATTGACATTTTCCAGAAGTAGTTAACTGAACTTGCTAGTGGAATATGGAACTTAGTTACTAGAAAAGATTATTTTAAACATCACAGAAAAACACAGGTGAGGTGAGTATAAACCATCTCTGTAAAGGAACCAGGTACATACCCAGGATTATTCCTAGAAGTAGCACATCACTCTTTCTCCTTCCTTCTTCCTTTCTTATGTGCCCTCAAGGCAGCATAAAAATGCCTGGTGCTTTGTGCAGCCTTGCAATTACTGAAGAAACAGGAAAGAACAAGATGAGTTTGAGTTAGCTCACAATTACAGGATCTCTGTTTATAAGAGTTTCACAAGCCAACTCCAGATCTACTTCATGCAAAGGAAAGTCTCCAAGTATAAACAAACACTCCTTAAACACATGTGAAAATTGACTAATACAGAAGTGGTTGTTCTAAGTTCTACATCTCTAACCCAGAGTAATTATACGGTAAAAGATTTGATATGAAATCCATTTCAGAAATAGTTTAGTTTTCTCTGATATGTTTTTATTAAGCATTCTATGTTATGTTGATTTTTTAAATGCAGTTTGATTGAACACCCTCTGTTTATTTTCATCTAGGAATGCTTATTTTTTACCCCTTATAATTGTCATCAATTGCTATCAATGAAGAAAAAAGTATGGCTAGAAACTATGTTGAATTTCTTTTTATAGGTGGAAATTTCCCTTTTTTATAGGGAAAAAACAAGCAATATTTCTTTGGTTTTAATTGAGTTTTTGAGATAATTTCATTTGGATCTTTAGCCTACATTCTGTGTTATATTTTTTAATATCTGGGTTTATGCAGTGACACTGAAATGGCTCATGAAGGGTTTTCTAAAGGCATGAAAAGGAGGTGGTCTTAGAAATAGATCAGTATAGTTTAGCTCATTCTGGAGTATACTCACTTTTATGTTGCATGTAGTTGTTTTGCCCACCCCTGCCCCTAAATATATGGGCTTCATAGGCAAGAATTTTATCTTGGTTTTCTATATGCTCCTCTCCTGTAGTAAGTAATAACCTTACTGCTAACCACTCAGTTAATCAACGTGAATATATCTACCTTTTTTCCAACAGGTGAACGGAAGAGTCCTTATGTTGCGGTATGCTGTATTGTGATGGCCTTCAGCATCCTCTTCATACAGTAGCTTGGAAAAATGCCAGAATTCAGTTGCAATCAGATTTAAATATGAAAAAAAAGGGACTTATCTGCAGAAAATAATGGAAAGAATGGTTAACCCTTTTATCTTTGAACATTGAATGAGATAAATTTTCAGCTGCTGTTCTCTATTTTTGTTATTGGACCAATGTTCTATAAATTAGGATGTAACCATTTAATACGCAGAGCTTAAATATGTCTGTAACAATCAACCTCAGTACTGTCACTACAATATTACATTCTGCATATGTCATTCTATTATGTCAGATACCAGTTTTTAGTGAGGTATCTTTAAGGCACATAGGAGAAAACAAAACTGGTAAATTACTTAAGTTCCTTTCACCGTGATTTGGAAACGATAAATCTTTATAGAATGAGACTTTTTGAACTAGCTTTTTTATTGAAAAAAAAAAAAAAAGGTTCAATTCGTGTTGGTAAGGACTGCATTCATATTTAATAATGCTTGCTTTTTCCTCTGGCCACATCATTTTGAGCATTAACCAGAGTACCTCTACTGTTAGCAAACTGTAGTTTATTACAGGTATTTAAACTATTTAAAACAAGCCTATGCAGTTCTTAAGGAGGAAGATAAATGAGAAGTGACTTAAGAGTGCAATTGAGAAAATGTTCCTATTTAACATAAAAGAATTCAGAATACCTGACTGGTGTTATCGTCTCTGAAACCTCTGGTTAAGTATGGATAAATGTCTTAAGCATAAATTTGACCAGCTAACTGTTGTTTTTGGAATAAGACTACATGCTTAGAGTAAAAAAGAGCTAAACGGAATGATAATCTTACACACGTTTTTCTTTCTTTTTAGTGTTAGGTCTCTACATTTTAATTACCCCAAAATGCAAACTGTGTTTTTGTTTTTTAATACAGCACTTTAAATCTAGTTTATGTTTTGCCTATCAACTTGAACTGGAATCTTGTGTAACTTACTACATGATAAACGTTTTCACATCTACTTACCATATGCCATGGCATAAATGTCTTTGAGCTTTGATGATAAAGGAGGACCTTCAGTAATTTTCATTGAGGCAAGAGGAACATTGGAAATGTGACATAAATTTTGTAGTAGAGCAGTTATTACACATTTATGGTTAACATTTCAAAATTCAGTTAAAGTTTCAAAGCAAAGGAGAACTTCTTAACTAAAAATTGCCCATTATACATAGTATTAATTAGATATTGTTGTCGGCTGTTAATTCCCCATAAAGATAAAAAGAATAAACTTTTTTTTTTAAGAAAAACATTGTTTAGAATTATTTTTAAATGAGCCTGCCAGTAGCTGTTCCTGCAGAAACAAAGTATGGAACTGAAAGTTACCTATTTTTAGGACCACTTTAAAGTACTTAGAATTCTAGGAAACATGTAAGAAAATCTTGTTACACGTTGCCTGCTTTTTTTTTGCAAAAGATAAAAGCTGCTGTTTGGCTGTCAGTATATTTGTTTATTGTACATTTCTGGCTTATCTATAGCTGGTTTAAAATGGTATATTTTGCCTTAAACAGGTTAATCAGGTTATAATTGTTCCTACTCTGCACTGTCTCTTGGGCTTTGCATTAGGTCAAGGATTTTCAGGGTATCCCCAAAATAGGACTCTTATCAGAATATACATGCAGAGTAAGTCACCTTTCTGGGTCTAGTTTCTTGAATGGCCATCTGTTGTCCAACTCTGCTGCCAACTAGACTTTCCAAAAGCTATATCAACTAATTTTTTATATACTAACACAAATCTAATATGAAAAAGGGAGGACTATTCTAGATAATCAGTTCTAGGACATTTCTTTTAAGTTGGCATTTCAGAGGAGGTAGGTGGAAAGTAGAGGAAGAAATAATTTTTTGGAAAATTTGTGGCAACATATAAACATTTTACTGTGTGTAGATGCTGAACAGAATAGGAAGCAGCTTATTTCTGACCCCAGACATTCTGACCTTTTGAAACACAAGCTCTTTGGGAGGTGGTGAAAGACACAAGATTCTGTGAAGAAAAGCAATGAGCATTTTCTTTTTCTTTTTTTTGCAGTACGCGGGCCTCTCACTGTTGTGGCCTCTCCCGTTGCGGAGCACAGGCTCCGGACGCACAGGCTTAGCGGCCATGGCTCACGGGCCTAGCTGCTCCGCAGCATGTGGGATCTTCCCGGACCGGGGCACGAACCCATGTCCCCTGCATCGGCAGGCGGACTCTCAACCACTGCACCACCAGGGAAGCCCAATGAGCATTTTCTTTAATGTATTTTTTTTTCAAAGAATTACCACTAAATCCTATTCTCTAACCCAAAGGGCGGCGTAGGTAGTTTTAAGCCCACAGAATATTCAGATATTCCTTTTGTGGTCTTGGCAAGGTGGTAAGATGCAGAAGAGGATTAAGGATCAATTTAAACATCAGATGGACTGCCTCTGTCACAGTCTTGGTGCAAGGCCAGATGGGATGATGGGCACTAAAGTCCACAGCTTGCTAGATTCAAATACCCTCCCTAAGCTCCTTCCTGGCTCCAAAATCTTTTGATTCCATCTTGCCTGGAATTTGTTTTGTGCTGATGTTTAGTTCCTGATTGGCCTCAGCTGTGCCAATGGCAGGAGCATGCCTTCTTTCCAGGCAGTCTTCAAAGATGTTCAATCAAAAGAAGACATAGTCTGCTGAATTCCCTCTGTGGCTTAAAAAAGTTTAGATTCAAGTCCAGTATTTTGTTAATGCCTATGCTGCTGTGCCAGACACTACTATCCTGAATGTTCTTACATCGTCAGATTCAAAACAGTCCTATGCTGGGAAAAGTAGTAATATGTAACTTGTAACAGACACCATCATCTTAGTAAAATGCAGATCAGTCTAGTTCTAACCTAGGACAAAATTGAGATTTCAGTGAAGTAACTTCTTCAAGTTCACAAAGTCAAAAATGAACAGATCTCTGCCTGGTTTTGTGAAAAAGACCTACCACTTATAAATAGAATATTTATATTTCAGCATTTTAAAGAGGCATTAAGAGTGCATTCAATCTGTGATCACTGAACACAAGTACACAGTTTCTTCCCTCTAGTGGTTCATAATGTTGTGGGTGAGAGAGAAATTAGGTTATTTTATATGAAGTGCAGTGTGATAGCATTTATTATTGAGATAACACCAGGATTCTAGAAGAAAATAAAAAGGTGACAGCTCAGTCAGGGATATGAACTTCCTTCCAGAGAATCAAGGCTTAAGCTGAATTTAAGAGCAATATGCAAAAGCACCAGGGGTATATTATGGACCATCAGTACCTAGCTTGTCGTGCCAGCCGCTTGGGGAGTACAGCTGAGCCTTGAACAACACAGGTTTGAACTGTGCAGCTCCACTTATATGTTGGGTTTTTTTCAGTGGTAAATGCTACAGTACTGCATGATCCCAAGTTGGTCGAATCTGTGGCTACGGAACCCCGCTTATGGATGGCTGACTGTAGGATATCCCTGGAGTGTGGACTGCGCAGACGGTCAGCGCCCCTAACCCCCACATTGTTCAAGGGTCAACTACACTACGATATAAGCCTAGAAAGGTGGAGAGAGGTTAGATCCTAGAGGGTCTTGTATTTTTCTCATTGCTATCTATTATCTACCTCAGAATTGAAGTTCAATATGTTTCCTCCTGCCTGACAAAAAAATTCAAGAGTAAAAATAAAATTCTCCCTTGGTGTATGTGTAAACAAGGTTAAATATATCCATGCCAACCGTATTTTGGACCAAGAATAATACATTACTGTCCTCTCCAGAGGCATCTGCATAGCATAAAGCCAAGGTAACTTACCAGTCAGGTCAAATATTTTCAGGAACTCTGAGTAGCTCATACTCTATCAGTGCCAAAAGTAGTCAGGATTGTTAAAGCATACATGTGCATAAGAAGCGAAGGTGGTTGCAATTTCTACATTTCCTAGGTGCACAGAAAAGATTTCTAATAAACAAGGACATGTGCTCCTTTCAAAGCCTTTGAGAAGTACTGGATCATAGGAAACTGAAAACAAGAACAGAAGATTCTTAGGGACCCCTCTACTTTCTTTGGTATCCAGTAACAGTAGATGTACAAAATATAAGTACTTGTGTAATATCAGCATTGTGAGTATTGCACAGCCCTGTTATTCTCAATCAGCAAGTTACTAGCTTCCAAAAATAGCTTCATGATTATGTAATCTATACATTGCCTTCCACAGTTTCTTTTACTTTGCCCTCAACCAGTCCCAAAATGGTAATCTGAAATGCCACTCCAATATCAGAAAAAAAAGGGTAGGTGGAAATATATTTCCTGTGGTTTTGAGAGTACAAAAAATCATCCTACACTATGGTTAGTGCATATGTCTGTGGTATGTAATAAAAATCAAAATGAACTTGCAAGAGCCTCCTAGTTTTGTCTTATTGTCAGGTGAGTGAAAGGTTTTTTAGGGGGTTGGTTAGAGTATTGAAATGGCCATGTTTTGAGTAAGATGGGAATAGAGAAATATTTCTATTTGTTTTACCTGCATTTTAATTCATGGCTGGTCGAGGTTGGTTTGGGGAAGTTTTATTTTTATATTGTTTTGCATCTTAAAGCTGTTCAATCTATTATATTGCTGTTTCTTTGAGTGAGCCTTCAAGAGTCTAATGACTTGCTTTAGATGTGAAGTCATGAATTCCCTCCAGAGATGGTGGAAATCTGATTCTGAGTGAAAGTGACAATTAATTATTGACAGTGACTTTCAACTTGTCCTCAACTGAGAGCCTTCAGATGCTCAAGCCTTCTGGCAAGTAGCTATCAAAATCTGTGAGCAGTGACCATCAGAGTGAGATTATTTAGCCAATTTATACCATTTATTGAGAAATATGAAAAAAAACATATGTACTGTGTACCTTGCTTTGGGTAGCATGGTCTTTCTACTGTTATCTTCCCAGCACCCAGTTAACACAGACAAACCTTCGTTAGACCTGTTACCGGAAATAATTGACTTAACCAAGTGAATTGCAACAACTATATTTTTAGTAGAGTTTTGAATTCAAAAAGTACTTCATATACGAATAGAAAAGCAGTATCTTAGTTGTATCCTCAGTGTATATTATAAACCTCCCTCACTGCTCCATTGTAACTACGAGTTGATGTGAGACTATAGAGAAAAATTACTAAGTTTCTGATTTCTAACTTAGATCAGAAGAATTCAAAATGGCTTTGCTTGAGACCATTAGTTTAACACAGTAGGAAAGCAAAATCTGTTTTCTATTCGGAGGGTTTGCATTAATATCCTGAACCATAACAGATTTGCTGGGAGAAAAAAAAAGAGAGAAACATAAATATTGGAAATAGGGTACGTCACTTCACACACACCCTGTAGAGGGAATTTCAAAATACCCAGACACCACTACTGTTTGAGCTTTATTTGGCAAGGGAAGTAGCCTGGGAGCAAATGTGTAGTAATTGAAGGTTTGTACCCAAATTGCCAAAAACGTCTAATTTATGAGCCACTTCAACACTTTTGATCACGTAGTATGTGTAAGCTAAATGCTGGAAAAGTAATGTGCAGAGATATTAGACTGCTTAAAAAGAAATAAGGACACATTTAAGGCATGAAGGATTTCAAGAAGGCTGGCCTCAAAGAAGGAATATTTGCAGTAGTGAAGTTTTAAAGAAAAATGATCTGCAGACTCAGGGTAACACCAAAAGATTTGATCTTGGAGATTGAAAGGAAGATAGAACACTCTTTCAATAACATTTCATTAGGGCCTTAGAAAAACAAGATAGGATTTTCCTTTTTATTTTATTTAATAAAAGTATTGTTTATTCTTTGCTTGCTTTTTAGCTAATGTTATTCACAAATGGAGGAACCTCTATTAAATCTTGGAAAGTGATGAGAGTACTTTTATAAAATATGTTTAAGAGGTTTACAGTATGAAATTAAGAGAGCTGTAGAACACAAAATATAGGGTAATAAAGTTAGATGAGTTTTCAGAAAAGTTAGTTTTATGAGTATGTAATCTAAACCTCATTCAGATCTCTATTAATGGGTCACTGTTATGAGCTCTAAGTGAATCAAAGCCAAAATAACATACAGTAACAGAATTTAAAACCCATAACTTAAAACTGCATTCATACTACTGGCAACTCCAATCCTAGTTGTTTTTAAGTATTACCATCACAGGCATCCTTTCAAAGAGGCGTAATTGAATCTGTTCAGAGAAATTGGACATAGGAAACTATTGAGATGGTTCCTGAATCCCTAGGCAATTATTTGACTTGCCATGAATAACAGAAATAAGGGTAGAATTCATGATAATCTTTATGCCCCCAAGGAATGGAAAACTAATCCCTCTGACATGGCTGTCCCACAAAGCAGGTTCCTCCACATCTTCCTTTCTATTTCTAGAAGAATCCTTTGAGAACTGGCTGTGTGCCAGACACAGTGCCAGCATCAGCGTATACAATGTGGAACAAGACAGCTCCTCCTGTCACAGAACCTCGATTCTAATGAAGACCAACTAACCAAAATAGATAGGCATACACAACCTCTAGTAAGGACCTTGAAGACACCAAACAAAGGATGATTTTAGATGGAGTGGTCTGAGATGGGCAGTCCATGAAGTTGATGGGTTAGGCTAAGACCTGCAGACGAAAAGAGCATGAGCCAGGAGGCAGAAGGAACAGCATACTTGAGGACCCAGAGATGGGAAAGAGCTTGGGACTTGAAGTGGAGAAGTTGATAGGAAACTAGCATGAACTAAATGAGACAAAGAATGGTATAAGTTGGATAGAAAAATGAGCCAAATTATGCAGTGCTTTGAACCATAGAGAAGACTGGCAGACTCATGCAAAGGATGAGTCAATACCTGCTTGCAAAATTGGAGCAGGTATAGTGTCTATCAGGCTGTCCTTGGATCTCGTATTGGAACTGAAATCCACACGGCAGGTAACTGGGAAGGAAAGGCTAGAAGCTTCAGGATGGACTGAAACCCATCAGTTATTATTGCTCTGATCTTGGTGCTGTGGACGTCCTGCAGAAAGAAGCCAGTGCCCTTCACCTTGTAGCTAAACACACATCTGGCCAAGGGTTAGAGAAACTGAAAGAGAAAGTGGAATAGTTATAGGCCCAGCCATTGCCTCATGCTAAAAAGTTTAGCACACCTGGGACAACATGTGTGCGCTAACAAAACGGTGGTTGCTGCACCTCTGCCCTCAAATTTCACACAAGACTCTCCTGTGGCCCACTCTAACCAAACCTTAGAAGAAATGGAGTTCTGGGAAATGTAGGACGGCCTAACCAATCTGACACATTACAAGGGCCTCACATCCTCTTAAAGACCCACTTGGATCGCCTCCCAGCAAGTCAAAAACAAGCCAAACAAAACTGTTTATCCCTTCTAAATCTGCTTCTGTCTGGGTCTCCTTATTTTTGTAAACAGTACAACTTTCCTTCTATGATAGAAACTTTCTAACCCCCTAAACTCCTTTTTTTTCTCTCTTTCATATCCCTCCCTTGCTCCCGCCAATCTGTAGTTTAGTTCTATCATTTTTACCTCTGCAGTGCCTACCCCAGGCATATGAGTTCAAACTCACCAGGTGACTATACCATCCCACACATTGATTTCAGATTCAGTTTTATAAAAGCCTCATTCTGGAACCCCAGAAGTACAAGGGCATTCTCCCCTCCAAGACACGTACAGGAGAGTGAGTTATGGCAGAGGTGCTAGCATGCTGTTATCATTATTTAAACCAAGAAAAACACACTGTAGACAAGATGAAAGATCTAATAAAAATCTGTTCTTATTCCCGATTCTAAAACTTTTAACAGCTGGGCTTTCCCATGTGGAATAATGTTACATAAATAACTCAGCTAGGAAGCAGAGGGGCTGTGAAGAAGTCCAACGAAATGATAGATGATCTTGGTCAATCTGAATCACACCCAATGGAGTTACAAGGAAAGAAGTGGTCATTGGAAGGTACTGGTGAGCTGGTGCTGGTACAATCAGCAGACTTCACAGAACCTTAGTCATGTACACTAATTCTTCTATAGAGGTTTTCTTTCTACTTAAGCATATTAACACTCTCTAATCTATTCCATAGGGACTTTTTCTGCTCCATCCAAAAATGTCACGGAAATCTAGAGAAATCGGCTCTCAGAGAATAAACTTGTTGAGATTTAAAACTGAAATAAACTGAATTCTTATGCTTAATTTTTTTTGAAAGGGGACAAATATCTCTGAGTACATTCTATTTAATACTCTCGTCCACATAATCTAGGTATAGCTCATGTTACAAATCCTACTCCCACTTCTTCCATCAACTGAAGCATATGTAGTTGCAGCTGTGGCACAAATGCCAAAAAGCATAATGAGAAAATATGACTAAGGAACAGAACTTCAGCCTAAGAAAGTGAATGCAGTCCTCCTTTTCCACTTATATAATGGGAAAGTGGTGAGAAGGGAGCCGCCATCTGTATGATAGATACAAAACTTTGGGGCGAGTCTCATCTTTCTCAGATTTGAGTTAGATGATCTCTAAAAGCCTGTCCAGCTCTAAAAACCGATGACTATCCTGTATTCATAGTACAAGTTGTTCTTCACTGGCCCCCACTTATATTTCTCAGCAGTTGGTTAAACAAAGAAAAAGAGCTCTTAGAGAGTGAAGATTCATTTGTTTTCTTCTAGGCATATTCTTGGAAATCCCACTGTGGTTGGAAATTCTACTTTGTGAGATGTACCCAGGAATTTCACCTTGCCAGAAATTCTATAAGGACTCACTTCGATCATTTTAAAGACTTACAGGAGACATTCTGTGATTTGAACAGTGGTTATTTCAGTAGGAAATATTCAGGGAGCATGTGCTTGTTGCTCCTTTTTTTTTTAACCTAATCCTGAGATTAACCTATTCTATGAATATCAGCAAGAATCAGCTCACCCATTAGCTACACCATGCAAAGGGAAATGTCCTCATCAACTTGAAAGAAAAGAAGGAGGAAAAAAATAGAAAGAAAATAACTTTTAGGCCTTGAATTGCTAATCACTTCCCCCTACTCTCTGCTGTCCAAATGTTTTTACTCATGATAATCCAAGGAAACATGCTAATGTAGCTGCCCCTTACCTCTCATCACCCTAGCACAGTATGAGTCACCTAGCAGGAGATACTTATAATTTCTGCTATTGATTCTGCCTTTTAAGAGAACGGCAACCTCTGAATGACAAGCCATCTGCTTGAGAGATGGTATAATGAGCCCCTTCAAATTTGTTTATCTCACTACAAAGTTGAAATCTATGAATTACAGAAAACTTAAAAAATATAAATACACAAAAAGAAAAAAAATAGAAGTTTCCAATAATCCTCTCAGTCTAAAACAACCACCATTAACAATTCATGTAAAGATATTCATGCAAAGATAGCCATGTAAAGATAAAGCATACAATTTATTTTTATAAAATAGCACATGCTATTTTGTAGCCTCCCCGTTTATCAATACATCATGGGAGATTCCTGGACAATATGGCGGAGTAGAAGGATTTGAGCTCACCTCCTCTCATGAAAACACCAAAGTCACACTGCTGAACGACCATCAACAAAAAAGCTTGAACCTACAAAAATGATATTCTACACCCAAAGACACAGAAGAAGCCACAGCGAGATGGTAGGAGGGGTGCTTTTGCAATATAATCAAATCCCATACCCACTGGGTGGGTGGCCCACACACTGGAAAATAATTGTGTCACAGAGGTTGTCCCACAGGAGTGAGAGTTCTAAGCCCCATGTCAGGCTCCCCAGCCTAAGGATCTGCTATCAGGAGGAGGAGCCCCCAGAGCATTTGGCTTTGAAGGCCAGCAGGGCTTGAGTAAAGGAGCTCCACAGGACTGGGGGAAACAAAGAATACACTCTTGAAGGGTGCACACAAGGATTCATGTGCACTGGGACCCAGCAAAAAGAAGTAACTCCATAGGATCCTGGGCCAGAC